GGGGCCTCCCCTGGTGGCGCAGCGGTTGAGCACTGGGCTGCGAGGCTGCCCGCAGCCTCTGCAGCGCCGGTTCAATCCCCAGCCGCCGGCAAGGGTCCCACATGGCGCGCAGACCTCCACTGCCATGCCCGCTGCTCCCCTCAGCAGTGTATTTCGTCAGTCTGCCTGTTCTGTTCCCCACTCTGGCTCTGGTGAATTCGCTCACCCTCCCACGCTTCTGACTGTACCCAGTGCTTGTATAAATAAATAAATCTTTAAAGAAAAACAAAACTATTAAAAAAGAAACAGAGAAGAAAAGAAGCAGAAGCAGAGTGAACCACGAGAAGAACAGAAAAGCCGAGAGATGCAGAACCACGCGAGCAGCAGAGACCACCAGAGAGCTCAGAAAGAGTGAAGACTTGCTGGGGGCTGGGAGGCCTGCCAGCCTACCTGCCATGTACCCAGTAAAAGCCAATAAAAGCCTGAAAAGCCACTGAGGGCTCCAGGACGCCTCCTTTACCCGGTCTGCTGGATCAGAAAACCTGCTCTGTGTCATTCCTGTCCCCTGCAGGTTTTTATTGCATTTCCCTGATTATAAGGGATGTTGAACATTTTTTCATGTGCTTGCTGTTGAAATGGTGAAGGAAATTCTATGGGGACTACACCTGGGGGGGTGGGGGGAAGCAAACATTCTTTAAAAATGAACAATGATGTAAAATATATATTTAAAAAAAAAAGCGGAGAAAAAAATAAAACCTTCAATGACATCTCCCTTGGCCCCAGAGGCTCACGTCCAGCAAACAGACCTGGGAAATAATGGGGCTGGGCGCTGAGGTGGGGCGTTGGCATGGAGAGAGAACCACGTCTCCTGGGGTCAGGATGGGAGAGGGGTGAGCGGACAGCTGGGGCGGCCCTGGGGGCAGATCCCCGGGCCGGCAAACCTGTATCGAAGGAATACAAAAGAAGCTTTGTGCTGGTGTGTTTCACATACCCTGCACGCAGATAGCTCCAGCAGCTTTAGAAAATGCGCGTAGCTGTGCAGCCACTGGCACCCGTTGGCTAGAATACAGGCCCAGCTAATTTTTAAGCGAAAAATAAACAAGGGGTGGAACCGTCCATGAAACAGGATCTGCTTTTGTGAGTCTCCTGGAAGTGGCTGTGTCTCCATGGCTCCCCGTGAGTGGAGGCAACAGAAAAAGATCAGAGAGAATACACCAGAAGGCCAGCAGGTACCCTCTGTCCACAGCAACTGGCATGTCCCAGGGCCGGTGTGACTTTGAGATGAGTAGCAGGCGTCCCTGCAGGGGTGACAGGTGCCCCCCCTTGGAGCAGGTGGGCCCCAGCTCTGGCTCACGTTCCTGTGTGTGTCCTGGAGCCACAGAGACAACACGCACAGGCATGAAGACAGCTCAGTCACACTAGCCCTTACTGCCGGCAGGAAGACCCGCAGCGTGTTGGAGAGTTCTTGGCAAATGCCCACTCTGCGTCCCTACTATAGTTAGGAAGCTGCGGGGCATCGGGGACGTGGAGGGACATTTTAGGAAAGGAAACCACATGTGGCAGAAGCGGGATTCCCAGTGCCTGGTGGGGCTGAGCTGGGCTGGCGAGGCGATGGCATCCTTCTGAGTCTTGAGCATCATTGTCAAAGGCATCCTGAATATCATCGGGGAGGCTTTCCTTATGCCCACCCCATGCCGTGGTGTGCCTGCTGGTGCCAGGCCCTCCCTAATTCAATGTCACTGACAGTGAAAGCAGGGTGGGCAGCATCTGGCTCCCAGCTCACTCCCAAGACAGTCACCTGGTCATTCCCAAGAGGACTCACTGGAGCATTAGGATGTGGGTGTGGCCTAGAGTTTAGGGTAAGTGTTGCTCACGCCCTCCCATTCGGCAGGTAGCCACAAGCTCCTACTGTGTACCAGCACGGGGACCCCACTGATGGACCACAGTGAGGACTGTGCTGAAATCCAGGTGGCTTCCTGGAGGTGGCTGCTCTGCTCACCTAAGTCAGGAGAGACTCAGGGAGGAAGAGGGTCTGAGAGTTGGGGGCAGACCTAGCCGGGCCCGGGTGCAAGTCCCACCTCCCACACTGCCTGGCCACACAAGCTAGGAGGCCCACCTCTCCTTTCTGCAGCTGAGCTTGGGGTCCTCGTGGCGACGTGAGCATGATGTCTAGTAAAGAGTAGAGTTCTTGGCAGGGCTCCTGGCACATGGAGAGTCTTTGGTGGCTCTTCCTGCACGTAATTAGGCTGTTCCTGGGCAGGGAGGATGAGGAACATTCAGGAAGAGAATGAGCATTTTGCAGAAGGTGGAAATCCCCAGAGTTTGGTGGCTGCAGCAGTGGGTAGAGGTCAGCTTGCTGGTCTGAAAGCTGTGCAGCCTGGAAAGGTGTGTGGTTACCTGGTAGGGTCGGGGGAACGAGGAAGTCATGGAGGTGCTGGGACGAAAGGTCCCCAGGCAGAGACAGGAGGCAGCCTGGCACCAAAGGACAGGTCAGGGGTCTGCACCTTTGAGTGTTGTCTCTGAAGTTCCAGCTTTTGACCGAGACTGCCTTTGGAAAGCTGCCTCTGATGGAATGGACCAGATCTGCATCCAGAGACCAGATTAGAAAAATCTTTCTAGAAGGCTCCTTAGGGGTGGTCTTTTACAAGCTCTTTATATCACAGATGAAGAAATTGGATCAGAATTGGGTTGGTCCCTTGCTCAGGCAATATATCCAGTTAGCAAAGACCATTCAGAAGAATACCCAGTGCAGACCCCCCTGGGATCCAGGGGAAACTGGTGCTAGGTCCCCCCACATCCTCAGGTGCTCAAGCCCCTTATAAAATGGCATAGCATTTGCATCTGACTTACACACATCCTCCCATGTATTTTAAATCACCTCAGGTTACTCCTAACACTGAATGCAAAGCGAGTGCTATGGAAATAGCTGTTGTCCCGGGCAGCCTGGACAAGCCAGGGCACGCTGTCCTTGGACGCGGCAGGCCAGCCCCCACCCAGCCCAGATTCTCATATGACAGTCTGTGCTCCTTGGGGGAGGTGGGGCAGTCTGGCCTTCTCTTTTACTGCCAAGTATTTCTGATCTTTTCTACAGTTCAGACAAAGGAGGATGTGAGACAGCAGAGGAATGGTCTTCTAGTTAGCTTTGAGTAAACGCCTCAGCTCGGCACCACCTAGCATCCAGCTCGTGGGCAGTTTAGGGGTCATTTACTCATCCCCTCTGCCACATGCACCTGCTGTGTGCTAGGGCTGGGCTGGCCAGGTGGTAGGATGGAACAATGGGTAGCAATGGGCAGCCTCAGCCCCTGCCTTGTGGGTCTTGACTTGTTCTCTGTGGTATTGGTGTGCCCTTGTGTGTATTTTATCAGTCCCTTCCAGAAGAACTTGGATAGGGCCTCCCTGGTGGTACAAGGGGTTAAGTCTCAGCACTGTGGACTTATCCACAGCCTTGGCAGCACGAGTTTGATCCCCAGCCAGGGAGCTACCCACAAGGTGCAGCAGACCTCTCCTGGCTCACCCGCTGCTCCCCTCTGCAGTGTATTTCAGTAGCTCTGCCTGTTCTGCTCCCCACTCTGTCTCTGGTGAATCCCCCACCCCCACACCTCTGGCCTGTACCCCAGCTCTTGTATGCATAAATAAATAAAATAAATTAAAAAAAAAAAGGACCTTGGGTAGTGTCTCATCTTTGCCATGGCAAACAAATCCGTCCCCTGTGCAAGTGTCACCTCTCTATAGGGCACATTTCCGGGTCGGGGGGCTGCATGGTGGGAAGGTGATAGTGTGTGATTTTTGCAGGGGCCATTCCTGTGCCCGCTGCCTCAGCAGGGCACACTGCTGTCAGCCCGGGGCACAGCTTGCCCGCCCAGTCTGGTCAGGAGAGTGTGTTGCCAACCTTTGGGATTTTTGCATTCAGTGTTATGAGTAACCTGAGGTGATTAAAAATGCAGGGAAGGGGCCTCCCTGGTGGTGCAGCGGTTGAGTGCTGGGTTGTGAAGCTGCCCACAGCCTCTGCAGTGCCAGTTCGATCCCCAGCTGCTCCCCGGCCACCGGAGGAGGGTCCCACATGGCGTGCAGACCTCTCCTGCCGCCCGCTGCTCCCCTCAGCAGTGTCCTTCGGTCCTTCTGCCTGCTCTGCTCCCCGCTCTGGCTCTGGTGAATTCTCTCACCCTCCCACACTTCTGACTGTACCCAGTGCATGTATAAACAAAACAAAACAAACAAACAAATAAATAAATAAAACTTTAAAAAAAATAAAAAAAAATAAAATGCAGGGAAGGATGTGTAAGTCAGATGCAAATGTTATGCCATTTTATAAGGGGCTTGAGCACCTGAGGATGTGGGGGGACCCAGCACCAGTTTCCCCTGGATCCTGGGGATGGCGGCACTAGGACTCCAAAGTTGAGGATCCAAAGTCTACAGAAACCCCCCCCGTTCCCAGAAAAGTCCTCAGCTGCTTCTGAGTAGCTGGAGGGCTGCGGTTGAGGACGACTTCCTTTGTCTCGTGGGACAGATATTTAACCTTTCCGGAGGAAATCTGAGCTTTTGGCCGAGACACTTGGTATCCTCTCTGTCCTAGGAAATGTAGTGCCTGAATAGTATTTAGGTCTGAAGCTCCTTTGGAAGGACTGCAGGAAAGGAGTCGTCCACGTGTTGGATGACAGCTCCCCTGAGAGAGTTAAGTCTCTCAAGCCCCTTCCCAAGGCATTTCCACGGAGATGGGGGCTGTCCCTGAACCCCCCGGGAAGAACAGTCCAAGTTATTGGCGAGAAAGGTTTGTGTCAGGCGCCTTCCACTCGACGGCAAGAAGGTTCCGTGGCTCCGGGAGGAGGGGGTGCAGAAGAATGCACCTTTTAAATCAAGGACAGCAAACCCCTCGGTGTGCCCAAGGATCTGAGTGGGAAGAGTGTGGATTTGGGACTAGAGGGTGCCGGGGAACCACTGCCTTATTTAGAAGGCGCAGGTACCGCACCAATCGGTACTCACCACTACATTTTTTTCCAGGCAGCATGGGAGCATTGCGCAGAGCCTGGCAGACTTTCGCAGGCCACGCGGGAGACCGGCAGGCTGAGCAGTGCGAGGCCGGAGTCCTCAGCGAGCGTCAGGTTTGATAGGGTATTGTTTCCTGTTTGGGTAAGTTTCAGTTTTGTTTTTTTTTTTTTTTTTTTTTGTGGGACCCTCGCCAGTGGCTGGGGATGGAACTGGCGCTGCAGAGGCTGCGGGCAGCCTCCCAACCGAGCGCTCAACCGCTGCGCCACCAGGGGAGGCCCCTAAGTTTCAGGGTTTTTAAGTTGGGTTTTTACTGGAATTGCATTTATAGCTTTTCCAGGTACCCTTTGACCCCAAGCCAAGGGATCTATTTTTTTCCTCTGTTTCTCTGGGTGTGGGACAAATCTGATCTGATTCGACGATGGCTCGGGCAAAAAGGCCGGCAAGGGCTGGCGTCTCCATGGAGGAAAACTGCGTGCCCAGCCTCGTCATTAAATCTCTCCCTGATAGGGCCTCCCCTTGTGGCACAGCGGTTGAGCGCTGGGCTGCGAAGCTGCCTGCAGCCTCTGCAGCGCCGGTTTGATCCCCGGCCACCGGCGAGGGTCCCACATGGCGCGCAGACCTCTCCTGCCGCCCGCTGCTCCCCTCAGCAGTGTACTTCATCAGTCTGCCTGCTCTGCTCTCCCCGCTCTGGCTCTGGTGAATTCTCTCACCCTCCCGCGCTTCTGACTGTACCCAGTGCTTGTATAAATAAATAAATAAATAAATAAATAAATCTCTCTCTGATAAGGGAGTTGGGCAGCTGGGGTAATAGGGGGAAAGGATGTTAGGGGGAAGGGATGTCCTGAGCTAATTCCATGCAGGCTTTGTGGACGCCACCCCCACTCCAGACCAAAGCCATCAGGACATTGGGAGAGACAAATCCCGTCACCACCAAAGGGAAGGTTGTTGGGACCTGAGGGTGGGGTTAAGCAGCCAGGTTTGGTATAAAACCAAACAGGATCTCTCTCTCGCTCGCCTCCTGGCTTCACGGCTGGTGGCTCGCGGCCAGCCCTCAGAGCGCCATTTGGGATTCCAGGTCGGCAGATCGGGTGGGACGCATTTAAGACTTTATCTCCCACTTTTCTCCTGAGTTGTACATTTCCTCATTTGCCCTTCCCTTTTATGAACCTTTCGTGTGCGCCTGCAGTGGAGTATTAGTAAGTCCCTTTAAGCGTGCGGGTGAGGACCCACAGCCAGGCACCCCGTTTTGTATCGGGGCTGCCCTGGAACAGAAGGAATGAGAGAATGTAGAGTTGGACTAAGAACAGGGTAGAGGTTGGGTGGATTGATATTTTTGTAGTTTTCCACCTGCTCCTACTACATTTTGTGAGGAAGGGAAGGGAGGTCCAGTACAGAGTAAGTGGGTGAGTACAGAGTAAGCGGCTCCTGTATCAATCAGAAGATTAATATTCTTACCTGCGACATCCAGGTTACCCCACCCCAGGCTCAGCCATGGAGACGGTCAGCTGGGGAGCCGGCGTCGTCCTTGGGCCCTGTCACTTGTCGTCCAGGAGGCGGGCTGGCGGCTGAGGGACCGGTCCCTCCTCCCTTCGGAGAAGGGGGCAATCCCTTTTCCAGTGGCCTTCCTTTTTGCAGCAGGGGCACGGCCAGGTGGATTTCTGGGTTGTGTACAGTTTGTGCTGCGGCGTCCCGTCTTGTTGCACCTGCAGCTCGGGGCCGTCGAAGCTCCTCTGTTCTTTCTTCCAGGCAGGTCAGTCTTCTGTCTTGCTGAGCCTGGTCTGCAGGGCGCCGGCAATGGCGGCGCCTGTTGATTGAGCTGCCTTTTCTCACTCACCACAGCCTTCCTTTCCTTCTCCAACCCTGCACTTTGGTCCCTGTTATTAAGGATTTTAAAAGCCGCTTCTAAAAGCTCGTGTGGCAGAGTTTGGGGTCCCATGGCTAGTTTTTGGAGTTTTCTGCGAATATCTGGTACAGACTGACTAATAAAATGAGTCCCCAGAATCACCTCACCCTCTCCCGTATTAGGATCCCTGTCGTTTCTTCTTCCTGAAAATTGCTGCAGGGCCATTGTGAATTCTCCTTTTAGCATGATAACTAGCTCTCCTTGGCTCACTTAGTGGTATTTAACCTGAAATCTCATTGTCTGATGTTAAGATTATGACTCCAGCATTGTTTTGTTTGTAATTTTCCTTATACCTCTGCCCATTCTTTTACTTGAAACCATTTAAAAATCACTGTTTGAGGGCCTCCCCAGTGGCGCAGCAGTTGAGCACTGGGTTGCGAAGCTGCCCGCAGCCTCTGCAGTGCCAGTTCGATCCCCGGCCACCAGGCGAGGGTCCCACATGGCACACAGACCTCTCCTACCGTGCCCGCTGCTCCCCTCAGCAGTGTACTTTGTCAGTCTGCCTGTTCTGTTCCCTGCTCTGGCTCTGGTGAATTCTCTCGCCCTCCCACGCTTCTGACTGTGCCCAGTGCTTGTATAAATAAATAAATAAATAAATCTTAAAAAAAAAAATCACTGTTGGAGGTATAACTCTTTCAGAGCTAGTTTTTGCTTAGGATCTAAACTAAAAATCTTTTGTCAAAGATAATGGAGTGTAACCATTTATATTTCTGAATAGAACAGTCTCTTCTGCCTTGTCCCCTCGTGCAGGCTTTGGAGGGACTATATTCTATTTTTTCCCCAAAGGAGTTTTTTTTTAAGATTTATTTATTTATGCATACAAGAACTGGGGTACAGGCCAGAGGTGTAGGGGGTGGGAGGATCCACCAGAGACAGAGTGGGGAGAAGAACAGACAGACTGAATGAATGAAGTACACTGCTGCGGGGAGCAGCGGGAGAGTCAGGAGAGGTCTGCTGCGCCATGTGGGTAGCTCCCTGGCCTGGGATCCAGCTTGTGCTGCAGTGGTTGTGGATAGCTTCATAGGTTGTGTCTTAATGAATCCCTTGCACCCCTAGGGGGTGGGTAACAGTCCACCCAAAGGGGAATGGCCCAGAGCAAGGCACGAAAGCTGCCCCAAGTCCAAAGCACCTTTCAGTGGGGACCCACAGAAAAGGATCAGAAACAGCCAGACAAGTCTGGGAGGAAAAGAGCAAAATCAAAGCCGATATAAAAGCTGCCATTGTCACCTCCCCACGGGTCTCACCCACATCTGTGTCGCCCAGTCCACAACCAAAAGGCAGGCGCAGTTTCTTCACATGTCTCTCGGCTCCATGCGCCTCCTCCAGGGCTCCTTCTGGCTCCATCCTGCTTCCTTCCTTCCTCAGTCTCCTCTGCAGCTTCTTCTCCTCCCTGCTCAGCTCCACCCTCTTTGGTGGGGGGGGGGCAGGGAACCTGGAACCTCCCCTTTCCTGGGGACCCCCCTGTTACAAGACCTCTTGTACATGTTATCTGTTTTTGCTTCTGAAATCCTTTGAGATCTAATTCTTTCAGCAATGTGTGCTCACTTTTCTCTTGAAATCTCTTCCTGTTGGTGAAGTCTGTTCCTTGTAAGTTGGCCTTCCCTTCTGAAATGCTTTATCTTCTTTAGTTCTTTCGTTCTCACACACCACCCTCATGTCCACCCGCCCTTTATCTGTTCCTTTCTAACCTAGTTCTTGTATTTCTGTTTTTGGCTCTTAAACTAGAATTTCATTTCCATTTTTTTTTTTTTTTGTCAATTCATGCTGTAGTTTGGATTAATTTTTGTTTTGTTTTGTGGCAATATTTTGTAGTGAATTTTCCTCACACATCAGGGAGTATTAGTGTTCCTTTCCCCTGTCTGTCTTGTAACATCTGTGCATGCACAGTATATTTAGTCCTTTAAAAAAGGGCTTTTTTCTGTATTTGAATTACTTGGATTTTCCTGGACCAGCAGTTAGCAGGAAGTCCCAGTGGAAATTGGGAGAGAGGCCAGGATAGTTCTGGAGGCTTCTCTGCTGAAAGCTCTCTCTTATTCCTTTGATAATGGCTCTTCCCCCTGTCCACACCTCTTTTGCCTTCCAGAACCCAACCTGGCTGCCTTCTAACTTGTTCAACTTCTTTTTAGAAGGGGTTGCTTCTGAGACATTCCACTGCTGGGCCTCTCTGCACCCCATTCTCCCCACCTCACTGCCAAAGCTGCTGGCATGCTGGGCTTTGGGCCATGCTTACGTGTGATTTTCCCCTGGCCCTGGTCTCCCAAAAGCTGTAGCTTGTAGTTTATTTTTGCTTCCCCCCGCTGCTCCCTAGGACATCAGCAGAAGAGAAAGGATTCAGCACAAGAATCTGCCTTATTCCTAACAGTAAAAGAAATGTCTGTCTCCCCAACTTTCCTGTTTGTAATAGTCCCCGAAGAGCAAACACTGCCTCCCTGATTTCTGGCTTTGAAGGAGGAACAGATTGTAAAAACAGGCATCCTTACAAAGATCACCACTTGCTGGTCACTGTCACACTTACTTCTTGCATAGAAATCATAATTTATGCCCTAAAAGATCAGAGGGTGTGGGCCGGTGGCCAGGGGACAGGACAGTGAACCCTCCAGCAGGATTTAAAAGCTCTAGACGTTCCCTTTATTTTATATTGAATAGCGTCTGAATTTCATGACCAAAAAGCTCCCCCACCCCTCAATTTTACGGATGAAGAAGCTAAGATGCAGGCATGGGCGCAGGTCATGTGGGTTATTAGTGGCAGATCTACTGCTGTCAGGAGGAAGCTGCCTTTCTGGCCCAGTGACCTTCCTCAGATACGTCACACTCCTCTGAGCCTCAGGTATCTGCTCATTTGAACTTATCAAGGAGTTGATCAGCCCTTGCCCTGTGTCTCCAGGTCAGAACTTTCGGTGGCTCCCACCCTGCCCTCACCCTCTTCCTTTGTGTAGAAGGAACCTGAGGCCCAGAAAAGAAAAATGACTTTCCCAAGGTCACATGGCCAGCTGCGAGCAGGTTTGGGCAGAGCCAGAAGCAAACGCCAGCCCCAGCACCTCTGGCCGCCTCTGACAAGTCACTTTTCTGAAAACTGAACAAGAGCTGCCGTTGGCTGGAAAAGCACCACCCACCCTCCCCGGCGCTCAGTGTGAACTCAGATGGCATGGCCGGGCCAGGGCCTCCCGGCTGCAGTGGGGCTTTGTGGCCAAGTGCAAGAGCACAGCGGGCCCCACCACCCCATCAGCACGAAGCTGCCACCACCGAGTCACCCAGCTCCGAGCCTTGCAGGTTTCCTCTCCCTGGCATGGGGTGCTGGTGCCCTTTAGGGGCAAGTGCTCACTTCCCTGGCTGGGGGAGCAGCTTCCTTGGGGTGTACAGACAATGTGGCCATGCCTCTTTCTCCCCATCTCCTGGCCCTGCTAGCCCCCAGGCCGCTGTCCTCTTGGGAGGCTCCCCCCCACCCCTCACCCCCTGCTCACATCTTAGCCCCCTGGGAAGGGGCATGTCTGCTTGGCTGATGCGCCCATCGTGATGGTCAGTAGCCAGAACTGAATCACATGCCCACCCCCAGAGCTAGAGAGTAGGGTCTGTGGGGTAGAGGGGTTCCCCAAGGAGTCAGGATGCTGTTATGAAGCGAAGGGGTGGACGCAGGTAGCCTCATGCAGGAGCCTCGCGCAGACGCTCTCTCGTGCTGTCATCGCACCTCACCCCATACTCACAGGCCAGGTAACGCAGCCACGCACAGTTCTGGATGCCTGTCCTCATGGGGTTATGCTCCCAGTAAACCCCAGAAGTGCACACCCAGACACGCGGTGCGTAGCGTCACTGCTGTGGCGTGAGCTCTAGGGGGAGGCTGGTAGACATAACAGAGCATGACCCCCCTGTACTGGGAACCCTTTCTCCTGCCCAGCAAAGGCCGCCAGCACATTCCCCATGAACTGCCTTGTCAGGGATGTTCAGGGCAACATGTGACCCCGGGGTCACCAGACCAGAGAGGAGGGGCCCCAGAGGAGGTGCTGGGAGACACTTCCACTGGCCCTTGTGCCTGTGTCCAAATCCCAACTTAGCCTCTGTCCCGGGCTCTGTGCTGGGGGCTCGGAGGGACTACCTCTGGTCCTCCGGGAGCCACGAGGCCAGCCCCCAGCCCGGCAGCAGGGTTCTGGGCAGGCTGGGCCTGACTGGCACTGAGGCTGTTGTTAGGATTGTTGTCAGCTAAGACCGGGATAAACCGGGCTGGACATGGGGGCCCACCGAAGGTCAGAGGTGCGGCTCCCCCACAGTGGAAGCTGAGGTGGGTGCAGGCTTTGAAGGGGTGACATGCACCAGGTTGTGGAGCCTTTTCCAGGCACCTAGGCCTGCTGCCTGAGGCCCTGCTCCCCAGTGGGGTGCCACTGGCCAGACCAGCAAGGTTTGGTCAGGCCCTGGGCCCTGTCTCCACCAGCCATGAATTTCTCCCCTTTCACTTCCTGCCTGTGACGGTTTGGGGTTCCTGAGATTGGGGAGCCACGGAAGCGTGTAGAGCAGGGTGTGACCGAGTCACAGGCTAACTGGCGCTGTCTCCCAGGTGTGGGGCTAGAACTGGGGGGTGGGAGGCAGCAGTGGTACGAGCCTCCACTGATGAGAGCCAGGGCTGGACGGCAGCTGCCCCCACCCAGGGGGCAGGAGCATGCTTTGGGCCTGAGGTCACAGGGGTATTGGACTGTGACCAACTTGGCCACATACACACTTTCTATTCCTGGGTCTCGGGCTCCAGCACCAAATATGGAGCTATCCAAGTCTGCTCCCTCGGCTTAGGTGGAAGCACCGGCGGCACCATGAGACCCCACCCTGCACCATGGCTGCGCCGGGTCAGCCCGCACCAGCCCACAGCCAGGGCCATCCAACTGTGTGTCCACTCCTGGGTGTGCTTCACCTTGCTTTAAAAATGCCCAGAAATGGGCCTCCCTAGTGGTCTAGGGATTAAGTCAGCGCTGTCACCACTATGGCCCAAGTTCGATCCCCGGCCAGGGAGATACCCACACGGCGCAGCAGCCCTCTCTTGTCTACCCGCTGCTCCCCTCAGTAGTGTGCTTCAATGGATCTGCCTGTTCTGCTCCCCACTCTGTCTCTGGTGAGTCCTCTCACCCCAGAAGTGCACACCCAGACACGTGGTGCGTAGGGTCACTGCTGTGGCGTGAGCTCAGAGGAGGCTGTGACATGATGGGGGTTGGCATTTTAAGGGAGCTGGAGTGGGCCCTGGCAGAAATATGATTTTTTCAGGGGCTGCCCAGATCCCAGACCCCCTTCTGGGGAGCCCCTTCCTAAGCCCCTAGCTCTGCACCTAAGCATGACCCTGCCCCAGACCCCAGTCTGGAACCCCAGTCTCTGCTCCTTCGGGAGATGATTTTTTGAATGAAGGCATGCGGTCAGGGGCAGCGTGGAGGCCTGAGACAGCAGCTGGGTTGGGTTTGAGAAAGAGCAGGAGGCTGGGAGACGGGGCAGAGAAGAGGCCAGGGGAGAAGTGGGGTGTGTGGACACAGGACCTGGGAACCCGCACCCCACGCCCTCGGGGTCTGCAGAGGAGTGGCACGGCCTCGCTTGCACTTTAGATGCATGTCTCTGACTACTGAGTGAGTCGATGAGAGGAAGCCCGTTCCCTGTGTGCCTACTGTGTGCCAGCACTGAGCTGAGCAGCAGGGAGAGGGGTCCCTCTGGCGAAGCCCCTCTCAGCATCCCACAGCGGCGCCTCCCCGGAAGGCACCTTCTCCCGGCCACCGGCCCTTTGCTCGCTTGTGTGTTCCAGGCAGTCAGGGGACAGGCCCCAAGCCTGTCTTATTCTCTTAAGACACCTGTGGGCTGTTGGCCCAGTAGGCATCACCCTAAGGACAAAACAGGGTCACGGACAGTCTCCCTGTTCTCCCTTCCAGACCTTTGTCTCTGAGAAGCAAAGTCCAGGGCAAGGGCTGGGGAAGCCAGCCTGGGCAAGGCTTCTGGACCGGGTAGGCATCCCCACGTAGCTGGAACACACCACCTTGACTGTCAGTGAGCTCGCCATGCTGGTGCCTTGGCCATGCAGTGCCTAGGCTGGCCCGAGCCCCGGGCCATGCTGGAAGGTCTCCCGGCTGCCGGGCAGTCGGCCCTCTGGGGGCAGCCCCAGGCCTGGTTGGAACTGTGGGCCCTCGGACCACAGTCTGCCCGCCTGGTTCTGACAGCCTCTCACGTGCCTGGCTGGCCTGGGCCGTGATGACTGCACTTTGTAGGTGGCACTTGGGAAACCCACAGGGGAGTCCTGCCCAGAGCTCGGCCCACGGCCCACTGCCCCCGAGGGAGGACACAGAGCTCTGACCCAGGGGCGGAGGGTCCACAGTCACTGTTGGCTCTGGCTGGTCTTGGTGGGGTTCTTGGGTCGTGGAGGCCAGCAGCCTGCCTGAATGTGGTGCCCGTCTCTTGCAGACCGGCCAGTTGCTGCAGGAGGCTCCTGGTGTCTTGGGAAGAGACCATGTCCACATCCCCCCACTGTCTGCCCCGGCTGCTCTGGGGCACCCGACGGGAGCGGGTTTGCACCCTGTTCATCATCAGCTTCAAGTTCATGTTTTTCATCTCCATCATGATCTACTGGCACGTTGTGGAAGAGCCCAGGAACCCGAGACAGCTCTCTAGCCCGCCCCTCGACGTGCCCTGCCCCCGCCTCCTGCCCCCCGCCCGGTCCCCCGGCAGCCCCCCTCCCGGCAACATCTTCTTCCTGGAGACTTCCCACCGCACCGACCCCACCTTCCTGTTCACATGCTCAGTGGAGTCGGCGGCCCGCGCTCACCCCGAGGCCCGCGTGCTGGTCCTGATGCAGGGGCTGCGGGCCGGCGACGCCTCCAACACCTCCCTGCCCCGGCGCCGGGGCCTGTCGCTGCTGCGCTGCTTCCCCAACGTGCGGCTGCGGCCGCTGGACCTGCCCGCGCTGCTCCGGGGCACCCCCCTGGCGGCCTGGCACGCGGCGGCCTGGCGGCGCTGGGAGCCCTACCTGCTGCCCGTGCTGTCCGACGCCGCGCGCCTCGCGCTCCTGTGGAAGTTCGGCGGCGTCTACCTGGACACCGACTTCATCGTCCTCAAGAGCCTGCGGAACCTGACCAACGTGCTGGGCAAGCAGTCCCGCTACGTGCTCAACGGCGCCTTCCTGGCCTTTGAGCGCCACCACGAGTTCCTGGCGCTGTGCATGCGCGACTTCGTGGCGCGCTACAACGGCTGGGTCTGGGGCCACCAGGGCCCGCAGCTGCTCACGCGCGTCTTCAAGAAGTGGTGCGCCCTGCGCAGCCTGGGCGACAGCAGCACCTGCCGCTGCAACAGCACCTGCCGCGGCGTCAGCGCGCTGCCCTGCGAGGCCTTCTACCCCATCCCCTGGCAGGACTGGAAGAGGTACTTCGAGGACATCAGCCCCGCCGAGCTGTTGCGCCTCCTCCACGCCACCTACGCCGTGCACGTGTGGAACAAGATGAGCCAGGGCACGCGCCTCCAGGCCACCTCCCGGGCCCTGCTGGCCCAGCTCCAGGCGCGCTACTGCCCCACCACCCACGCGGCCATGAAGGGGGACTCCTGATGGCCGCCGGGCCCCCCACCCCAAGGGAAAAGGGTCTCCGCCTTTCTTACTGGGGACGTGGAGATGAGGCCAGGCAACGATGAAGTTCTCTGCCATGAATGGAGACCCGGAGTCTAAATGAAGCTGCAGCAGGGGGAGCCTGGGGAGAGCAAGAGAGCAGCGCTGCCTCCCACTCTCCCAGCCCACGCTTTTATGAAAGACTTGAACAAAGGAACGAGAAGATAGCACGCGCTTGTGGTTTTGCTTATACAGATGAATGAGTTACTGCTGAAAACAAGTTTACCAGGTTGGGAGGGAGCACACGCCAGCACCTCCTCAGAGAACAGGAGTCAGTTCTGGGAAGAAGTTCTGTTTGCAGAACTTCCGAAGTCCTGGCACTCCGCGTACAGAGTCAACAGGTGCTCTCCAAAGACTCCAGCTCCCCGCAGGGCAGCAGGCTCCCGACATGTCAGCCCAAGGAGTATTCTTGAAGGCACCCTGGGACCTGCTCCTACAAGCCAGTGTGAGACTTGTGGGGATGCCCCCTGGGCCAGCAACGGTCTCAGTGGAGGTGACAAGTGCGGGGACGGCCCCCCAACCAGAATCGGCAGGAGTGAGCTGGGGGCATGTGAGGCTGACATGTCAGTGTAGATGCCATGTTCTGGCACCTCCTCTGGGCAGGGAGGGGCCCAGAGATGCCTCCTGGGCTGTGCCTTTTGCCTCTTTTGCCTCGTAGCATCATCTTTGCCATCAAATGAGCCAGCCTAGCAGCTGGCACCTAGCGAGTTACATGCAACTCACGGGGAATAGGCTCGGCAAGAACCGGGGTTTGAGCCCTTGGCTGGCTGAGGACTGAGCTCAGCGCAGGGAGGAAGCTGGCCAGGGGAGCTGTCTGGAGGAGCTGAGTCTGCCAGCCAGCGGCGGGGACGCGGGGGAGCTTCGACTTCCATCACAGTCTGGACTCCTCCCCGGACCCCCCACCTGAGCCCTCTGCCCACCTCAAGCTCCCAGTCACCTTTGCTCCCACAGCCCAGCTGTCCCCTCATCGGGACTCCATTTCTTTGACTGAGTCAGCACGAACCCCGTCATTTCAGCTGAGTCATGCGCTGAGTCTTCAGAACATCACGCCCCTCCCCGCTGGGCCTGATGTCTCTGGGTGTCCCAGCATCTGGGCGACCCCAGCATCATGAAGACCCGCTGGGCAGGAGGCGCACTGAGGGCCGGCGGCCGTGCTTCCTCCCGCCACTGGGGGCGGCGCTCAGCCTTGATGCCCACCTGGGGAAGTCGGGGTGCGGGCCCTCCAAGCGAACACACTCAAGAAGCGCTCATCCTACTGGGAGGACACAACAGGGAGAGATGATCCTGGAGGCTTAGAGAGAAATGAAGTGCCCCCCCAAGTGCCTGCGAGCCCTTATTCTATTCAAAATGGTGATGGGCCCAAACAACGGGTGCTCCCCGCGGCTGCAACACTCACCAACGGTCCTGAGGATCCATTTCGTGTTATGTGTATTTTACCACAATCATTTTAAAAATAATAATAATGAAGAGATAGGATGTGGGAGGCGAGGCCAGGAAGCAGACGGTCAAGTCCGTGGCTGAACTGGAAATCCACCCGACGGAGAAGTCTCCACGGGGACAGGAATCCCCAACCTAAATTTCCTCCAGTTTCAGGGAAGTTGAAGCGCCTTCCTTTTTTGCTGGCTACTTTCCGCTGATTTAATACCCTGAAACATTCTAAGGACCGACCTGTCTTGGTCACGCAGGGCCACGCTGGCTGCAGGGCATACGTGTCCGTTTAACGGGAAGTGGCGGTGACTGCGGGCCGGGCTGCAGGCGCCCCCCTTTATGTCACCAGTCCTCGCTCACTCCGCAGCAGACGGCTAACCCTGACTCTGCTTTGCAAGGTCTCAAAACACCTTCTTATCTGTGGTCACTGTCATGTTGACCTGGCCCCCGCCTTACACCTCTGTCCCCGCGGGGACTGCCCTGCCACACTCGTCTCCATTTCTGTCTTGCAGCTGGGACACCAGGCCCCATTCCCTGCCATTCCCTCCCTCCATCCCAGTTCTGCTTTTGTCTTTCCTAGCCCCACGTTCCCTGTTCCCCGCCTCAGGGAAGCCCTTGCTTGCCTCAGATGAGCTGATAGTCCCAGAATCTTTCAGGAAATCTTAGAAAGGAGATGAATTCAAACCTGGATATTTCTTTACCAGGAAACTCCACATCCTACCCATTCTAGGAAAACAAATAAATATATATATTTTAAATTACAGTCAATAAAACCCCCAAATGGTTCTGTGACGCTTTGGTAGAAAACCAACAACAACAGAGACAGCTTTTCACAGAATGGATTTCTGGTCATTGCAAAATGATCATAAACTGCCCCAACTTCCCACAGAGACTGAAAGGAAAAGGAAAATTCATTGGCAAACAGATGGGCTTCTTTTTTAAATTATTTATTTATGCATACAAGAACTGGGGTACAGGCCAGAGGTATGGGGGACGGTGAAAAGATTCATCAGAGACAGAGCGGGGAACAGAACAGGCAGACTGACGAAATGCACTGCTGAGGGGAGCAGTGGGCGAGGCAGGAGAGGTCTGCTGCGCCATGTGGGTTGCTCCCTGGCTGGCTGGGGATTGAACTCGTGCTGCAGAGGCTGCGGACTGCTTCCTAGTGTGGTGCCTAATCCCCTGCGCCACCAGGGAGGCCCCAGATGGGCTTTTAAAGCAGTCCAACCTTCAATTCCATTATAGAAGGTCAGAACCGAGGTTGAAGGAGTAAAAAGTTCACATGAAGGAAGGGCGGAAAAGATCAACCTCCAGTTCAAGGCCTAGAAATTGCTGGAAACCCCAAGCCAGTCCAAACCTTTCCCAGCACAGAGCACAGACTTTCAGGACTGGGAAGGACCATAGAGCCACCGGGCCAGCAGCTTACCCTTCATCCGAAGGTAGTTTTTAAGTCATGATACATTGTCCACTGCAGAAACCCTGAAATTCACAGTGGCTTAGAGAAGGTTGGTTTTTCTTTCTCTCAGGTAAGAGGCCAGAGATGGGCAGTCAGGGCTCAAAGGTTTAGCTACTTCCCAGAGTCATCCAAACATCCCAGGGTCTTGCTCCCCTGGTCCACCCCATGACACTCAACTTTCACCTCATGATCCAAAAAAGCTGCTCTAGCTCCTGCCATTGCCCCCAAACTCGACAGCAGATCTAACCCAGATTGCTCCCATCATTTTTATCCCACTGGCTAGACCTTACTCTCCTAGTTACAAGGGGAGCCAGGGGCCCCACTAAAATGTCTGTGCTGCATAGGACAGAAAATTGGTCTTGGAGAGAAACTGGCCACGTCTGAAGTGAGGGTTCCTGTGGGAACATGCTGGTCCTTCCATGACACACTTTTCCAGAATACACCCGCTGAAGTAGGAAGAATGTTGCATTTTGCTTTATTTGGAACTTGCTGGCATCTTGGGCGCAGTTTCACTTTGTTGTTAATGCCAGAACCACGTCCCAAGACAAAAATGTAATGGTTTTTGACTTTGCTGCTAGTTCAGAGGGTGGGGCCTATAGTCAGACCCATCAGGTTTTATTCTGAACTTTCTTCCTACAAGCTGTACAGCCTTGGGCGAGTTACCTATCTGCTTGTGACAGCTGCCCCAGGTGATGACTATGAGATTGCAGGTGGGGCACCCATATCTCCTGGCACTCGTGAAAACTAGACCGGTGCTGCCGTTTCTGTTATTACTCTGCCCCTGTGCCCCCCATCCTGTCTCTGAAACTCATTTTCCCCAGTTGTAAAATCAGGATGTGGTAGTTAGTGCCCCAAAATGGCTCCAAATGGTTGCTTCTCTCTTCGAACACACCTGCCAGCCCTCCTGTCAAGATGTGGTGCTTCCATCTGACCCCTTGAGCCTGGAGTGGGCCGAGGTCCCCACACAGGTGATGGCGGGCTACTCTGGGCCTGACTTGAAGAGAGCAGGTAGCTTCCACTTCTCCCTCTTAGATCCCACATGCCACGCCATGGGGAGCCCAAGCAGCTGCATGGATGGGCCCTTGTGGAGCAGGGTGAGGCCCCAAACTCGCCAACAGCCCTCAGAGCTTCCAGCCGGGGAGGGAGCCGCGGGGAAAGCAGGTCTTCCCTGCTGTCAACTCCCCTGCTCAGCGGCTGGCCGGAGCGGCTGACTGTGAGCCAGGAAATGACAGCTGCCTCAAGCTGCTAGATTGGGACTGTTCCGTTATGCGGGAGGAGAGGCTCGGAAGGCAATCTGCTGTGAAGCCAAATGCTGTCGAGGCAAAATCTTAACCATGTGACATTGGTTTGGGGACCAGACGGAAGGAAGGGCCTTGTGGAAAATGTTCCACAAAATTCAAGTGATTGAATTTTAAAGATCTCGTTTCTTCATTCGGGGATCCACGAATCAGGCAGCATCCAGTCAAGAAGGACTGAGGGTAGAAGGGAGCAAGATCAAGGGGTGACGCTAGCGGGGCGGGGGGGGGGCGCTGTACAAGGCCACCGTCCTCGAGGGGCTGGCAGGGGCCCAGCAGGCACCTGCCCGGACCAGTGCTGACCCGGCGTCCCCTGGCTGACGCGAGGGGAGGCCACTTCTGGAAGAGGCTGGCGCTTGAATCAAGTTCAGTCTCAGTCTGGAGATGTGGGGCTTGGCATACGTGACTCCATTTGGGCCTGTTGTCTTATTTTTAATAAAACTGTGAGTGAAAAGCTTCAAGCACAAGGGAGCTGTATCGGCTGCTGCAGGGAATGGGACCCCAGTCACGTTACCCAGGTTAGATGGGAGCAGACACCTGCTTTCATCTCCTCGCGGGTGAGAGAGGGATCCCACCTCAGGGGCACGGGGATGGCACGAGCATGACACCCAACACTGGGCAGAGGGACGGACAACAGTTTATGCCCCCCAGGGCCCCGTTCAGCAAGCAGGCCCAGCTGAGGCCGGAGCGCGCGCCGGGGGGGAGCCAGGCTGGGGAGCGCCAAGAGGGTGGGTGTCTCTGGCTCCGCGGGAAGATGCGATGAGCTTGTTTGGATAACTCCACAGGCTGCCAGGGCTGTGAAGCCAGCTACGCCAGGCAGGTGGATACTGCCCCAGGTCCGGGGGCTAGGGAGGACCTGTGAGCCAGGGACCTCATCCACGGGAGCAGAGCTGGGGCTGGGGTCTTGCCATGAGGCCACGTGAGGGCCTCCTGATGCCAGCAGAAGCCGAGGAATCTAGCCGACCTGCAGATCCAGCGGCGGGAGCCCCAGGCCCCATGCTGACGCGCCGGCTGCCTGCAATCAGAGAGGGAGAGGAGCCCGGGAAGGAGCTTCAGGTTTGAGGTAGAATGAGGAGGAAGCAGGAGCCGGCACATCAGGCCCATCAAGCGATGGTTTTACTTCCTTCTTGAACAACAAGGTTGATTTCTTTGATGATAAAATTAACCTCAGAATGCAAGTTGAAAAATCTTGGCTGTCTTGGTTCCGAGGACAGAGCGCGGCGCGGTGCTGTCTGTGGGAGCAGCTGAGTAAATGCGGGGCAACCAGCCAACAGCCTGGGGCCCCAAGGGCTTCGTGGGATCCCAGAGCAAGCAATCCCTGCCACAAGCAGGGCCCCAGGAGCTGAGATGACCACCAGCTGCCATGAAGGTATTTTCCAGCAACTGTGCTTTTTTCCTGGTACCACGTCAACAGCCACCACATTGCTTTCCAGAGAAAATGGTGTGGAATGGCGCGGCTCCTCCTGGGCCTTCCATGGAGGGGGTGGGCAGGTCCAGCCCCGCTCACTTAGCAGGTGTTCCCACCTACGCCTTCTCGGTCAACTCACATATCCCCTCATGAAGTTGTTGACTTTCCCATTCTAGAGATGATGCCTCTGAGGCTCAGAGGTGGTCGCACAGTCAAGCTCGAACGCCCGTCCCGGAGGACAGACTGCTCTGAGCCGTGAACTGTCTCCCAAAGATGGGGAGCAGTTACTTGGGGGACCCAAAGAAGTCCCAGATCGTAGAGGGGGTGAAAATACCTGGTGCTGCGAATTCTGTGCATGTCGCATGCAAAAGCCTCCAAGTTCACCTGGGACCATGAGCAGGGTGGGGGCGGACGCCCCAACCCCCTAAAAATGGGAATGCCGACAACTTCGTAAGGGGATATGTGAATTGACCCAGTCTGAGGGGGTCAGACGGTCAGACCCTCTCTCCACAGGGCACCTTCACGGCGTCATAGGCGTAACCACTGTGCGCTGCCAGCCACCCCGCAGCAGCCCCCCGGGCCGCGGGCCAGGCGCCGGGGTCTGACTCACACCTGCTACGTGACACTGCGTGAGTCAGTGGCCTCCGTCTTCTCACCCGTGAGGTGACGGAAATACAGACATCAGCCTCTCCGAGCTGTCGGGAGCCGCCAAGCTGTTGAGGCAGGTGCCCTGTGCCAGGCATCAGGCCTGCACGGTCCTTTCTTATTAGGTGATTATTATTTGATAAATAGATGGGTGGATGTAATAGCAAAATTATAAAGTAGACAGCAGAGGCTGTGATTAACCCCGCCTTACATGTGACTAATGGAGACTTAAGGGCATTCAGAAGGTTGCCAGAGACAGAAGAGGGATAATTATGCTCATTTTACGGCTGAGAAGACTGAGGCTCACGATGGACACGAGCTCAAAGTCGGTGTCTAAGCCGGGCCCCTCTGGCCACCCCCGCCCTTGCTAGTGTCCCTCTTTGGAACGATAAGTAAGGACACAGGACTTCCCAGCAGCCGCAGGTGACCCTGGCCCAGCTTGGTTCCTCTAGCTGAGTCTGCCCAGGCCTCCCCGGCCAGGCCTCCCGGCCCAGGCTCTGCAGCAAGTCCCCTGGGAAGTGACTGGCACGCCCTCCCCCGTCTCCACGTAGCTCAGCACCTGTGCCTGACTGGATGGAAGGAAAAGCGGGCTGGGCCCACAGATCCAGGATCCCACCCTCACCTGGCTGGGTTAGAGGGCCTGGCTCATGCCTGAAATTCCTCCGTGACCGCTCCCTTGGGTCTACCTGTAGCAGGTGCTTTCTCGTAAAACGGAAGAGTCCCCTGAGGGAGGACTGGTAGGAACTCTTATTGCGTAGAAGACAGAGAGGGAGGGGCTGGGCCCTTTTTTCTGGATTTTTAGTAAAAAGAAGCAATTGGTTTTGAAAGGAGGGACATGGAAAGGTATGGAAGACTGAAGAGTGAAAATTTCAGGGGGGGTGTTGAAGTCGCCTGAGGGGCCTGGGGGGCTGCTATTAGGAAGCGCTGGTGTTTTACCAACCCCTTCACTGCACCTGGCCTGTCCTCAGCACCCCAGGGCACAGCTTCCTCCAGCCCTCCAGGTGGGGTCACCGCGGCCTGGCCCTCTGCCTGCTCTGCTTCACAGACCCGAACAGGGCCCGAACAGGACACCCCAGGGTGTCCCTGGGGTGCAAGAGAACTAGGGGGCAGGGAGAGAACTAGGAGC